ATGAAGGAAATCCAAATATGATTAGGTGTTCATGTACGAGTCACTTTAATTCTTCGAGACTTTCGTACAGGTCACTCGGAATTAAATATGATTTGGTGTTCCAGTGGGAGTCACTCTAATTCTTTGAGACTCTAATTCCACGCAAATGATTGAAATGAACCTTACCAAATTTGAGAAGAAGCTTATCAATTTCCGACAGACTCGGCCACCACCGCCATGGTCGCTGGGACGCATTCATGATCCGGTTTAACACCATTGTGAAGTCCGATTCCACAATTAACATAGCTTTCCTTGTCCAATTGGCCTCAAGGAACACTTCCGGGGCAGTTTTGACGTAATGAATATGACATAATTTGTTGATTAACTTCGATGAATTTGCATTTTATTTACTTATACATGATGTTATCCATAAGTATTAAGGTCATTATTGTTTTTGGATGTTAGTTTGATCAATGAGGATAGGGATGCTAGGTTGGACGTAATGGGAGTGACAGGTGGCTGCTAAGGATAAATTTTAACATCTCTTGTTCATCGGTTTTTGTTTTCATATAAATAATACTTGAGTTTCGGATAGACGTATTCACCTATACAAGAAAACCATAAATACAAACCGATTGTTTAGGTATTAAAATCGATTAAAACCGATTGTTTAGGTATTAAAATACTAAAACCGATTGTTTAGGTATTAAAATAGACTAAAACCGATTGTTTAGATGCAAAACGCGTTAAATTTTTAATGGTAGGGTATTCAAATTAAACACAAACTAAATGTTAGTTATGATTTAAAAAAAATAAAAGTTTAATTATTATAATGGACCAAAACTGATAGTTTATGTATTAAATACGTAATTTACCTTAAAACTTTTGTCGTTTCTCCATTCTTTTATTCAAGCCTAATAAAATTATAAAGCATGTCGAATTCATGCTAACATCAAATAAACATGTAAAACTCTAGTACCTCTAGTAAGGGTAAAAGGGCATTAATACCCTTTTATCTATCAAACTTTTGTCCCTTTTCAAGATTATTGAATCACAATGATCACCTTATAGGGTGGATGTTCTATCCACAAAACTCACAAACATTAAACAAAACATAAAACTCCGGTGCTTTAGTAAAGAAAATGACATTTTTAAACCTCTATCTATCAAAAGTTGTCTTTTTCTTTGCTAGATTATTAACCCTTTTATTTTCTTTTCATGTTTCATGTAATCTCCAATCTATGAAATATATTGATGGATTGATCAATCGGATGAGGGGTCATATAGTTCGGGCAGCAGGCAAGCTTTAGAGGATGTCAACAATATGGTTCTTGAATTCAATATAATGGTTCTTGAATACAATATTCAATTGTGTGAGACTTAATTTGATCGATGAACTGAATGTAAATGAAGTAAATATTTTGAAATTGTTATTACTTGACATTAGTACAAGTAAAAAAGATAAGTAAACACACATTATTGGAAAGCTAGAGCCGGTGGCAATCCTTTATTACTGGCTGTCAAATTTATTTAAATTATAAAATAAAAGTGCATGGTGTAAACAAGTAGCTAATTTTATTTAGTTTGACAGCCTCACCATCGCACCACAGATTGCCGCAAAGAGCAATTAAGCAAAGCAAAGCTTAATTTTGAAGTGGAAAAGAGGTTATTATGGCGCTTAAGGACTGAGCATCACCGCTTGAATTGATATCTACTTCTGAATTGTATCCCCAGCCGTAGCTCGTGGGGTACGAATCGTAGGCATGGTCGGGTTGAATGTTTTTCCAGATTTCTTCCCAAATAACAGGGTCACCAGCGGGAAGGATCGAGGTAGTAACCTATCATTCATAAACGAGCTTGTTATTAACTGAAAACGAGAATTAATAATACACGTAAGAAGTCAGATATTATAATACTTGATTATTAGCGGTCCAAACAACGACCCACGTGGCTATCTTTCCTACAGCATACACAACAGATCCGTAAGCGTTGATTGATGTATCCTGCTCGAATACAACGGGTGGTGCACCGCTCTTGATCACGTCAGGAGCGCCTTCGTAGGTCGACGAAACCAACTTTAAAGTGTCGCCACAAACATTCTCGAGCTTGACGGTTGTGGGTACAGGAGCAGACGAGAGTGTGGCTCTTAAGATTTGAGCATCACCATTTGAACTGATGTCTACTACGGAGTTGTATACCCAACCGGAGGCCGTGGAGCTGGAATCCTCGGCGTGGTCCCATCGAATGCTGTCCCAAATATCTTTCCATATAACAGGGGTACCAGCACGAATGATCTTGGTAGCGACCTATCATTCGTAAATGAGCTAATTGTAATATACGCCACAAAATGAAAATTTAAGCAAGAAAACAAGGTTTAGGTAAATAATATTCATAACAAGTAAGATAGTGTTATTTACTTGATTATTAGCGGTCCAAACAACGATCCACGTGGCTGAATTTTCTATGGCATACATAACAGATCCGAAAGTATCGATGGACGTATCTTGCGGGAATTTAGAGGTTGGGTCACCGCTCTTAATGACGTTGGGAGCGCCTTCATAGGTCGACGCAACCAACGTTACAGTGTAGCCACACACGTTTGAAAGCAGGACGGTTGTGGGTGTAGAAGGAGCATCCATTTGTTGTTAGCTCAACTGAACGTATGCTATGGGAAAGCAGGACGGTTGTGCTACATAGTTTCTTACATACACATTTATACGCTGATTCGTAGCATAAAGGGTAAATTATGCCAATAGTCCCCTTTATTTTTGGTCTGATCGACTTTGATCACCGGTTTTTAATTGAGTGCACTTGGTCCCTAACGTTATCGATTCGTCCAATTTAAGTCCGCCGTTAATGTAAATTAACCCTTTAACAGAAATATTAGGCGGCAGTTAAAAAATATAAACGTCTATTTCCCGATAAAAATCATAAGATGACACTAATGCCCCATTAGCTATAAAACTTTTGTCCTTTCTATATTCCTTTTATTTAAATTCTCGTCACAATTATTATTTAAAGTATTTATTTAAAGCATAAAAGTTATATAACAGTGATAACATAGTCAATATTGTTATTTCTCTATTCCATTTATTTAAGGCTTTAAAAATTATATAACGTGATGATTTCATACTAACATCAAATAAAATATGTAAAACTCTAGTAAAGGGTAAAATGGCATTAATACCCTTTTATCTATCAGACTTTCGTCCTTTTCAAGATTATTGCACCAAATTGATATACTCGTTAGGTGGATCTTCTATTACTTATTTTTTACCGAAAAAAAATTGTAATAGTGATAATATATTACGTAGTTATTATTATTATTTATAATTGTAATAAAAATATTTTGTCATTAGTTGGTGATTTGTGACGAATTGTTTTTGTTACTAGTTTTAATTGGTGATTTGTGACGACTATAATTTTTAAGATAAATAACATGGGTGACCACTCAACTATAGCCAAAAATTATTTTGACTACCGATGTTTCGATTTAATCAATTATATCATCTAACTATTTAAATACTTCAATCAAACCACTTATCGTTAACTTTTAACAGATGAGATGACGTGAAAGTTAAAATTTAATCGAGGGAATGACATCTCAATTAATATTATTGGTATAATTACATATTTGGTCCTTGTTACTTACATAATTAAATTACGACATGTGTCAGTCTCTTATTGAACGGTTAAATTTTTATTTTAAAAAAAACTCTAAAATATTATTATTATTCAAATTAACCAAAAATCTCGCTAAAATCTAAAAAAAAAATATCCCAAACTTTTCAAGTCTCTAATTTCAAACACCCATTACTGTTGTCGGTAATAGTCGACCGTCGCCACCGTCTCCAAACGGTCACCCACTCGTCGCTGACCACCTAGTGACCGACAAGGTTTTTGAATCCAAAAGACTAAGATATGATCCATTTGGATGCTTAAGGAATTAATGTTATTGCTCTAAGTTACCCATCACCCTTGTTGCATCTCTCTTTCGCTTGCTTTACCCATTGCAATCCCCAATCACAGATTCAAGGATTTTCTTTCTTAGAGAAAGTGAAGATTCAAAGATTTTTACTTTGTGTGAAGATTCCAGTGGAGAATCCCAAATTATTCGCCTACAAATTTGGTTTTCTAAGTTTAATTTTTAAATTCCCAAACCAAAATCAACAAGAAAGAAGACAATCGTTTCTCACATTGCAGTTATGACCATCCATTTCCCTGCTAATTTTGCCATCTCTCGAGTCTCTTTCATTCATATTTCTTCATCAGATTTTGCCATCTCGAGTCTAAATTTAATGCTTTTAGTGACCATTTGCATAATCGATCAAATCTTTCAATTACATGTTCAGTTGTTTAAAAATCCCTTAGGTGTCCTGTGATATGATGTAATGGACACCGACACGTGAAATTAGTTCATTAAACCAAATGATGGTTCGAATTGAGACTAAATTAGAAATCGACAAGTGAAATTTGAAAGTATAAGGACTAAAGCGAAAAGAGAGTAAGAGTATAGATTTTGCATGCCTGTTATACCAAATGTGGATTCAGTGGAAATAAAAGAATAATGGAGAAATATATGTCATGGTCTAAGAATATTGTTTTTGGTGAAATATTGATAAATTCCAAGTATTCAATTTGATCAATGAGGAGAAGAATGAAATGTTTGGGGACAATGGGAGGGACTGATGGCTTAGGTTGGATTCATACATCCCTGATTGGTTTATTTTCGAAAAGTATTCGGATAAAAAAGATCGTAAATATTAAACGACCGATATCAATATTTTTAAGTAAAAGTGTTATTTATCATATGTAAGTTGATTTGTTGAAACTAGATCGAGTTGAGTTGAAACTTGGACTTAGCATATCCGTTCTTCATTCAATTTTTGGACCGTTCAAGGATAATTTGGATTGAGAATTCAATGCAAATAACGTAAAGGGATGCATGTTTTTTTTTGAAACTATTATTATTATTAATTGACATTAATACAAGTAAAAAAAGACAGACTACACACACAATATTGAAAAGAAAGAGCTACTGGCAATCCTTTATTGCCTGCTGTCAAATTTATTTAAATTAAATAGAACTGCATAGCATAAGCAAATACAATTTCTTTATTTTATTTTATTTTAGTTTTGACAGCCACACCACCACACCAGAGATTGCCGTAAAGAGTAATTAAGCAAAGCAAAGCATAGCTTAATTTGTTGGAACTGTAGAGATTGTGGCGGTTAGGGTTTGAGCATCACCATTCGAACTGATTTCCACTTCTGACTTGTATCCCCAACCGTAGCCCGTGTCGTACGAACTTTCGGCCTTGTCGGGCCCGATGGTGCTCCAGACATCTTCCCAAATGACACGGGTACCAGCAGGAAGGACCGAGGTAGCCACCTATCATTGACAAATGAGCTAATTATTATATATGCTATATAATCAAAAACAAAACAAGGTCTAGATTTTAGGTAATTACTAATTGAACATGAAGTCAATTATTTGTCAATTATTTGCTAGACGAGGTGAATCAATAATATACACAACAAGTGAGATAATAATATTTACTTGATTATTAGCGGTCCAAACAACGATCCACGTGGCCATTTTTCCCATAGCATACACAGCAGATCCGAAAGTATTGAGCGATGTATTCTGCTCGAATGAAACCGAGTCACCGCTCTTAATGACGTAAGGAGAGCTTTTATAGGTGGACGAAACCAGCAGTGCGGTGTCGCCGCTCTGATTTGAAAGGGTGACGGTTGTTGGTGTAGGAGCAGCCATTTGTTGTTAGCTCAACCAAATTTACTCTCTGTGTTTGATTTGCTTGTGTTGTGCTACATAACTACTTGTACACACATATTTATATACAGCTTTGCAGCTTAATAAGATAATATAAATATAAAAATCTACTAGCCCCCGTTAAAATTATAAAATTACATTAATGCCCCATTAGCTATAAAGCTTTTGTCGTTTCTCCGTTCCTTTCATTTAAAGCGTGATTAATTCATACCAGGGATGGGATGGGTCGAGTCTGGTCGGATTTTCGATTCACTTGATCCGACCCGAAAATATACAATCTTCCATATAATTCCAATATGACTAAAACAATATACACTTTTAATCCGATCTGAACCTGACCTAGGTTTTTGAGATAAAATCTGAATCTGACAAGAAATAATATATTTATTAAAAATATTATTTTTATTCAATAAAAATAGGGATTTAATTGAAAAAAAATAATATATATAGAGGGTATTATTATAATTATCAATAAATATATAAGATAAATTTCAATTTTTTTCGGTTCTGATATTTTTACCCTAAAACTAAACATAACATTAAGAAAACTCAACCTGAACTCAAAATATTTTTTTTTAAACAAAATGACTTGATCGAGTCGAGTCAAAACTCGTCGAGTTCAGTCCCATGCCAATCCCTAATTCATACTAACATCAAATTAAACATTTAAAACTCTAGTACCTCTAATAAAGGGTAAAATGACAATAATAACCTTTTATCTATCAAACTTTTGTCTTCATCAGGATTGCTGCATCAAAATGATCTACTCGTTTATAATGAAGGTAAGCGGAGAAAAATGTTCTACTCGTTTGTTGGATCTCTTATCCATTAAAATCACGAGACAAGAAAAAAAGTATGAAAATCTATGGCGGCCGAATCACAAGAAAAGTGGGAAAATCATATTTAAACCTTCAAAGATAAAGGAAATGAAAGTGAGTGTCTCAAAGCTTCAAGAATAAAGGAATCAGATTTACATGGGCATGTTATCTAACTACCCTGATGTTTTTAGATAATTTTTTTTAAATGAATTGATTTCCAAAGATGTTATCTAATTACCCTCATGGGGTTTTGGATCATTGTCCCAGCGTGATCCAATTGGATGTTCCTGAGTACAGTCCACCAAGACTGTTTAAGTTCTTTAATTTTTGGGCGAATCAAGTTGATTTTTTGAAAATTGTTGAGGATCTTGGAAGAGGGAAGAGAAGGGAGATCCGATGACTCAATTAATGTGCAAGTTGAACAAGTTATAGCCGGTGCTAAAGGAAATGAATAAGGATTCCTTTAGTGATATTTTGGGCAGGGTGAGAAGTAAGAGGGTTGAGTTTGAAAGAGCACAAGTAACTTTAATGAGGTGCTCGTCCCCTGAGTTAGTGGTGGAGGAGAAGGAATTGGCTTCTGATCTTTGTGTCATGCAGGACGCTGAGGAGAATTTTTATAAACAAAAATCTCGGGTGTAATTTATGAAGGAAGGCGATCAAAACACTAGTTTTTTCCCCACTAGTGTATGGCTATTAAGCATAAGAGGGACACCATTAGGTGCTTATATGATGACGAGGGGTAGAATCTGAAGGGGTTTGAAAAAGTTTCAACTGAATTGGTTGGATTTGTAGGATGACTTTGGGATTGAATGATGGCTCATTGAGGAGGCTCTCAAATGATCCGTTGTGGGAGGTTTTAGGAGTGTGCCTACTGATAAGATGGGACTGTTAACTACTCGGGTTGAAGTTGGTGAGGTCAGGGACACGATGTTTCAGATGAATGGGGATAAAGCCCCAGGGATACATTGTTAAGTTTCTTCAAGTAAAGGATACTACAAGAGTTGTGCTAAAATATGAAATAATATGGTATAAGAAAATGTAGTAAGAAAAGTGAGAATATGTTATTAAATGGTTATGTATGATCATAAAAAATATTATGATTGCGGGTATGATATCATTTATTGTACTATAACGTTTACTGTATTGTACCTTTTACTGTACATTTTTTTCATTGTACTGTTCCATGATTCGTACTTTGGTTCTCAAGGTCCCAAACCCTTCAAAGACAATTGATTTTCGACCAATTTCTTGCTGTTGCACAGTCTATAAATGCATTACCAAAATCATTGCTAATAGGATGAAATTTATGCAATGCGGCATTATTTGTCAGAATCAAAGTGAGTTTATGGATGGTAGGGAATTGGTGGACAATGTTTTGTTGGTGCAGGAGATAATGAAGGGTTATGGGAGGAGTTGTATTGCTCCTTGGAGTGCTATTATGGTGGATCTGAGGAAGGCATTTGATTCCTTGGATTGGGGCTTTATCCTTCAGATTTTCGAAGTGCTAAAATTTCCAATTGAGTGGCATTTGTTTAAATATTATTGATTATTTGATAATAAACGTTCACACTTCTGACATTTACGATACTCAAACTCAATATCTTAAGACATAATAACGAATCTCTTAACAAGTTGGATGATTAGTGCTAAAAAAAACTACCGTGGGCTCAAAATAAGGGGTGGTTAGCAGAAAAACTTTGACTTGGCAAAGGGGTGGGTAGCAGAAAAGCTGAATCAAAGCGAATGGACTCAGTGACTCGGTGACTCGGTAACTCAGTCCTTTACCAAACTCGGAATTCAATATTATATACCTAACAACAATTTAGGCAAAATCCACGAGATAATGTTCTCAAACTTTTTTATTCACGAGATAATGCACATCCCAGATTAATTGCTGAAATAGGGTGAATTCTACAGTGCAGCCGTAGGTCGCCATGGCATCCGGGTGAGCTTGGAGGACGCCATGCAATCCGGGCGAGCTTGTAGGACGCCATGCAATCCGGGCGACATACGGGGTGACATACGAACCATACGAGCCATACACGAGCCATACGAGCCAATGGAGAGGTCGCCATGCAGTCCCGGCGACCTTGTAGGTCGCCATGTAGTCCCGGCGACCAAGTAGTTGATCCCTCCTAGCTCACGAGACCTTACGAGACCTCATGCATGCACATGCAGCTGTAATAGACAACTGAGATTCACGTGCTCCCCTCCTGCTCCCCGCTGCATGCCTACAGCTATCATAGCTGCAATTGCAGCGTGAAATCACCTGCTTCATGCAGCAACTATTGATGCATGCATGTGAACCATTTGATCCGTGAATTATTGGTACAATTATTGAACCATTGCAGCGTGAAATCAGCTGCTATCATAGCTGCAATTGCAAAATTATTGGTGAAATAATTGAGGCAGCCGGTGACACCTAAATTATATATGGGGTGTGCATTATCGTGAGAACATAAAAGAAAGAAAGGGAGAAGAGATTGCAGCCAGAGCTTGGTCGCCGAGATTGCAGTCGAAGAAAGGGAGAAGAGATTGCAACCGAGAAAGAAAGAAAGGGAGAAAGGAAAGTAAGAAGAAGAAAGGGAGATAAGGTAAATTTTTTTATATTTAAATTAGTTTATTATTATAAATGTTTAGTTTGTTAGTTTAGGGTTCAGGGTAAAACAAAAAGCAATTAATTAGTTTGTTAGTTTAGGGTTATATGATTGTTAGTTTAAGTTATAGTATACATAAATTAAAAATTATTTAATTAGTATATGTTTGATAGTTATATAGTTAAAAAATAATTAATTAGTTTGTTTTGTTAATCGTTAGTTATATAAAAAAATTATTTAATTAGTTTGTGTTAGTTAAATAGTTAAGTTATATTTGTTTGTTGAATTTATATTATATAAAAAATTAGTTAGTAAGTTTATTAGTAGTATATTATAATGAAAAAATAGTTATTAGTTAGTTTTAGTTATATAAAAGAATATTTTATTAGTTGTTTAAGGGTTTAGCGTTTACGTTTAACTTATATTTTAAAAAGTTTAGTTTGTTAGTTTATTAGTTTATTATATTATAAGTTATTATATTAAAGTTTAGTGTTGTAAATTAGTTAGTTAGTTTATATTAGATTATATTAAATGATTTTTTAAATATTGTTGTTTAATTTTTTTTATAGATTCATTCCAATGGCTGACCAAATTCCACTGTTGATGCTTGACAATGAGCATATTTCAAGTCATTTGGGAATAATGGTGAATAAAATATTTGTTTAATGAATTATAATTAATAAATATTTGAATATTATTTTATGATTGTGATAATTTTTTTGAAATATTTAATTGTAGGAGGACGAGCAGCGAGTCCTTCGTCTTCGGCTACATAAAGTGCCCAAGCCACACCCACTGATAGAAGAAAATTTGCAAGAGGCTGGATTTTGGTATATAACATTTGTGCGAGATTACAAGTTGGTCCCAGGTTTGATCAGTGCGTTGATTGAACGTTGGAGACCAGAAACGCACACGTTTCATTTGTCGTGTGGCGAATGCACGATAACTTTGGAGGATGTGGCAATGCAACTCGGGGTCCAAACTAATGGGATGCCGGTGGTAATGTCACATGAGTTTAATAAGGTGGCACAACTTTGCAACTTGTTTCTTGGGAAAGCGCCCGTACCACCAGAGTGTAGAGGGTGGCGGGTGAGGTTGTCATGGTTGAAGAATGAATTTCAACTTCAACCAAATAATACGGAGCACGAAATTATATATGCAACACGAGCATATATATTACAATTGATTGGGGGAATTTTGATGTCTGATAAATCCGGTAGTTATGTTCACACTCAGTATCTTCTTTTTTTAACAAATTTTGAGAATTGTAGGTAATATAGCTGGGGTTCGGCGATATTGGCGTTCTTGTATCGTGAGATGTGCAAGGCGTCATTAGTCGTGAATGATAATAATACAGTAGAAATTGGTGGATGTCTGTTGCTGCTACAATCATGGGCTTGTCATAGACTTCCGTTTTTGACACCGATTAGTCGGATTGCGGTTGACTTTCCACTTGCCGGAAGGTAATATGAATCCTCTATTTTAATATAAAATATTAATTAAAAAATATTTATTTTGATTAAAATTATTGAACAAAATGTCTCTATTTTTGTTTTGATTGATATACAGATGGAGGCATAAAATTGAAGGCACGGGGTTGGTGCACAACAATATTAAA